GGGGTGGGGGTAAACATAAAAAAAAAAAAAAAAAAAAAGACTTAGTCATATGCAGTATTAATAACTACTAGGGTACCTGTATATATAGTTCTTTAGAGTTCCAAACGGACATAGTGTCTCTGCTTTCTTGTCCTGGTGTTCCAGTCTATATTTCTCACCCTGTTTGTCTTGTTATGTACACTTGTTGGTTGATGGGCTTCAGAACCTAAAGGCTTCCCCTTTTAAGAGCTGGAAGTACCTTTAGAGATCACCTACCAGTTTCAATCCTTAGATTTTACCAAGGAAAAATCTGAGGCTCAGAAGGATCCTAAGGTTTCCCTTATTACTGGAGAGATAAAGGATCTAATCTTAGACATGAAGGACTGTATTTCCCAAATTCCAGGTCTCTTGCAGACATGTAAAACCTTAGAGAAGCTGGAGGGACAGAATATTTACTTTCAGAGCCCCATCCAGTCATGGTCCGTGGAGAGAACTGTAGCCTTTGGGAGTTGTATACACAAACCAGGTAATCTAGTAAGTCTGGAAAGAAAGAACTATAAGCTTTGTCGCTTAAGGATATTAAAACTCTAGCTGCTGGCTAAATGGCCAACCTAGATATGCCAGGTACATATTGTATAGACCAATACATAATGGATTCAGTTTTTTTTTTTAAATTGGTCAGAGAATCTGGAGACCATCTGGAGCAGGTGGGATTAGCTATGAGAAAAGAAGCTCAGTGAAAATATTTTTCATAAAAAAATAAGAGAGCACAGAAGGACATGAAATAGGCAGAGTAAATGAATTACAGAAGATTCCATAGCTGGCACAGAACACAGAGCTAGAACTTAAATTTTCTAGTTCCCAAATTCAGTGCTTACCTTTCCCTCGGTTATGCTCAGTAACACAAGACAGGTTGGGTCTGAAGACCTGAGCTTGAAATAGCAATTTTTTTTTTAAAAGATTTATGTATTAGAGAGACGGAGAGCTTGTGCACAGGGTTGGAGGGACAGAGGAGAGAATCCCAAGCAGACTCCCCACTGAGCACAGAGCCTGATACGGGACTCGATCCCACAACCCATGAGATCGTGACCTGAGCTGAAATCACGAGTCAGAGGCCCAACCAACTGAGCCACCGAGGCACCCCAAAATAGCAATCTTTGAATAAAATTGGATATAAATGTGCCCCAGATATACACATTTTGTGTAGTTAAAAATATGTTAACTTCTGGGTATTTGAATTAATAAGGAAAAAATATAGTCCATTACTACTTTGTATACATAAGATCTAGAAGGGCTCACACATAAATGTTAATAGTTACCTTTTAGTGGTAGAATTGTGGGGTATTTTTCTTACCAATTTTCTTAGTTTTTTTTTTAAAGATTTTATTTATTTGAGAGAGGGAGAGTGGGAGGGAGGGGCAGAGGGAGAGAGAGAAGCAGGGAGCCCGATGCGGGACTCGATCCCAGGACCCTGGGATCATGACCTGAGCCAAAGGCAGACACTTAACCAACTGAGCCACCCAGGTGCCCCGATTTTCTTAATTTTAAACTAAGCGTGCATTGCTTTTATAACGGGGGGGGGAGGAGGGGGAAATAAAGCAAGAAGGAATTACAGACTACTTCGCAATATATTTTCACTCCTTTCTGGTAGACAATACCTTTCATAATACATATCTGATAGTAGATCCTCTGTCAGGTGTCACAGTTCTAGGCAAAGCTCCATTCCCCTTCTGGCTGTGTGATTGGGACAATAAGAAAGTGTAGGCTGGCCAGCCATACTGAGGGTGGTGCATGCTCACTTGGGAGCCAAAGCAACACTGTCCTGCCAGGATCCCTCACCTCAGTGGGCCAGGCCTTGGAGGATCTGGAAGCTGCCATAGCCAGGGTTCCATCCTCATTGCCTTGTTTTATATCTATTCATTGTTTCTAATAATGAGTATATTGTTGAGTTCTATCTCCATCATTAATAGTCATATTGTATACCTATTGAGCACCTTCTATGTGGTAAACACTTTCCTTTGTTCTAGGTCAGCTGTAAACAAAACAAAAAACTTATATTCTGGGAGCTGGGAGACATAAACCTTAAACAAAAGGACAAGTAAATATACATGTCTGGTGATGATGAATGTTATGGAGGAAAAATAACACAGGGATGAGACATAGTGGTACTTTTGACTGGGGATGGGAGGGGAAGGAGGGAGGAGGGAGAAGAAGGAGTCTTATTACTTTATGAAAGGGCTCATCAGTGAGATCTGAATAAGTGGGGTTGTAAAACCATAAGAATAACTGGAGGAAATGTATCCCAGGCAAAGGGTTTGAGTTAAGAGAGTGTTTAGTGTGCTAAGTAACAGCAAGAAGGCCACTGTAACTGTGATTCAGCAAGCAAGGATTGATCGTAGAAGATGAGACCAGAGAGGCAGCTGGGGACCAGATCACCAAGAGCCTTTTTTACTGGCCCTTATAAGGACTTTAGCTTTTGCCATGAATGAGATAGGAGATCATGGTGGCGGGGAGGTCGGGGCAAGGAGGAAAAAGGGCTTATGCAGAGTCATGACTTGACTTAGGTTAAAAGGTTTATGGACTGCTGTGGCAAGAAAAGATTATAGCAAGGCAACGGTGGAAGCAGGGAGACCATTTAAGAGGTTATTCCAAAATCCAGGTGGCAGGTGGCAATGGCACTAATAGTGTAATAACGGTGGAGGTGGTGAGAAGTGGTTGGATTCTGAATATGTTTTGCAGGTAGAACCATTAGGATTGGCTAATGAATTGAATAGGGGTGGGGAGTATATGTAAGAGTAAGAGAAGAGCTGGGAAGGACTTCCAAGATATTTGGTCTTATCAAAGAGAAGGACAGAGTTGCCATTCACTATGATGGGGAATACTGGTGGCAGGCAGGGAGCCAACATTTCAGATGTAGAAACGCAAAGTTTGAGATGCCTATTAGATATCCACGTGGAAAGTTCTCCTAGGCAGTTGG